TGCTATGCACTGAAAATGAAGACTAGCATGCAAAAGCAGTCCCAGGGTGACTGGGACAGGACACTGAAGGACAAGAGGCATGGAGAGAGAAGTACTGTGAGCAGGGGCAGGAGGGAGGGTTTCAGACCCAGGCAAAGGGCCAGATTCGTCTTAACAAGAGAGCGAGAAAAGCCAGCCAGATCTGAGCACCTCAGGTAAGTTGGATTAGCATGTATTCTACATGGGAATGCAGATGGCTAGAGGAGACACACTCGCAGTGAACTAACCAATGAGCCTGGTGTGAAAATGTGGAAATGGTGTCTGTACTGTTCCCACGGGAAGCCACATGCCACCTGACAAAATGTGTTTAGAAAGACTGTTGTCTGAATCCCGACTAGCTCCAAGTGGCACCACCCTCTGCAGTGCCGGCTTCAGAGAGTAAAATCCCTGTGTGAAGGTGATGGATCGGGACTGTTGTCAGATCAGAAACCGGTTTGGCCAATGGCACTGCCATTTAATTAGCGTGCAGCCTCCCAAGATATGTAAAAAAATGGATGCAACATCTGCAGATGGATAACTTCCGCAGTAATTACACCTCAAGATTGGTTTCCTAAGGCATTTCCTGTTTCCTCACACAAATGTGCCTGGACCTCTCCTAACCTTGGGTTTTAGATTCTCCCCACAGATCACTCTAGTGTGGTTTCTAATTCAATTCCTTCACATCCCTCCTCCAGTGACAGCTCCAAATGGGGCAGTTTAATTAGAGGTAATACTTGACAATGGGCCAACATGTACTCTCCATTAATGAGGTGCACTAATTTCCTTAGTGGTGCCATTACCTCTGCCAGGCTGACTCCTTGCCAGAAGTCCATATGCAAAGGGGGGAGAAGGGGAAACCTGCTCAAACAGACAGCCCAGGTCCCAGGTATTCCACAGCTGGTTTCCTTGCTCCACAATCCCATCACCTAGAACACCTGAACCGACACACCTGTCCGAAACACCAGCATGCACTGCCAAGCACACAGCATGCACAAAGGCGGGCAGGTGGGAAAGCTGGATACCAAAAAGTTGGAAGTGACAAACTTACGGACAGGGGAAGGGAGCAGCAGGACGGGAGGTAAGACTAGGACTAGGTGGATAGACCATAATAAATGACAGCCTTGGGTTTCAAACAAGGGAACATGTCAAAAAGACTTGCTGTGTTGAAAGAAGCACTCTAAATTATGCTAACATGGATGTGGAAGGGTGCAGAAGTATGGAAAGGGAAAAACAGCTGCTTAGTGTGGTCAGGGCAGAGAGCAATGTGTTTTATTATTCCCTTGTCTTCAGCATTTAAAAATTCCCAAGCACACTGTGGGTACTCAGCAGATACAGTCAGCTGAATGGCGACTTAGAAGCAGTTAAAAACAGCAACGAGAAGGAGCATGGTGGTGCCAACTACAGGATCACAAGTCTGAAGTAGGCCTTGTGTGACCCTATAAAGGGCATGTCTGAACCCCAAGAGTATGTGGCAGGAGCAGGATGGGAGGGCTGGGGTGTGGAGACGGGGCTAAGAGCACCAGAGAGAATAAACAAACTGAAAAAGAAAACCCAGCAAGACCTTCTAGTATACAGGATGACTAACCTCGGTTCCAGGTGGTGGCTAAGGAGTAGTTTTGGGCAGACATTCGCCTGGCCAGAGAAGGGTGCTTGAGAATCTGGGACTTACACAGCTGGATGAGGCTGTCCACAATGACTGGGCTTGGGGAAAAAATGACATTTGAAGACTTAAAGCAATTTAAAGTAACTCCATATTTCTCAATTGAAAATCCTCCTATTTGGGGGAAACTCACCAGTAGGTTTCTCTCTTGGGGATGTCCTCAGTGGAGTGCCAGAGACGGGCATGAGAGATGATATCCAAAACACGCTCTTCTTGGTTCTCTATGTGATTTCTTGGATCATCAACAAGACTAATCACTTTCTTGGGAAGGCCTTCTATTAGCTTGGTCTTAGTTAGCCAGAGAGCCTGCTTCATACCTTTGGGGCAATCATCACAAAACAAACAAACAAAGAGAGAGAGAGAGAGAAGACAGTTCAGAAAGAGATGCTCATGCCAACCAGGTAGGACCATGAAGAAAGGGCTGCTTCAAGAGAAGGCTGGGTTTGATTTGAGACATCTGAGGAATAAAACCAAGAAAGCAGTGGATCAAGAGTATGACTTTGAGCTGGGCAGTGGTGGCACACACCTTTAATCCCAGCACTTGGGAGGCAGAGACAGGCGGATCTCTGTGAGTTCGAGGCCAGCCTGGTCTACAAGAGCTAGTTCCAGGACAGGTTCAAACCCTGTCTCAAAAAACAAACAACAACAACAACAAAAGAGTATTACTTCATGAATAATGATCTACTTCAAGGTGGTGAGCTGACTATGGGACTGAGTGCAGTGCCTGCCATGAGAAGGATTCAAACCTTTTTCAAGACAGCTGAGATCCCTGCTGACTCCCTTCAGGCAGAGAAATCAAAGCTGTGAGACTAGCTCAGTGGACCAGCCCGTCTGGTAATCCATATCCTAACCCTGACTAGAGAAGCCCATGCATACCAAACTTATGTTTGAGTCCATCACAGCTACTCAATTCTGCTATTGTTGCACAAGTGCAGCCATGGGCAATAATGTACATGCGCACATGGTTGTATTCCAGTAAAACGTTATTTACAAAAACAGGGAGCTACTTAATTAGCTGACCCCAGCTCTGTGACATTATTGCTAGCCACCACAGAGCCAATGTTTAATGATTCTCTAGCGCATACACAAAATACATAGTATTTAGAGCTACCATTTACCGAATGTCACTTCTGGAATTTACCAATAAGTTAGATGGGATTTTATGTCACGAAAGGGGAAACTTGGACAAGACGGAGGAGTTTGCTTCAAGTCACTTATCTTTAAGGTGACACAAACCTGAGCCTGTCCACCCTAAAGCCCACCATCTCTCCATAACCCACGTTGGCTTCTAAGACTCCTATTTTACAAGGTTTTGTTGTGATTTTATAAGACCTCTTTATGACTTTTGAAAGTGCAGGCAGAAGATACATTTTCAGACAGTTCAAGGAGTGCGATCTTCTAGAACACTTGCTGTCCATTACCAGTGACAATCAAAGGGGTTATGTTGTAGGAGATCCTTCACAGCACGGTCAGGGTCCACTGGGAGTGGTTAACAGCTAGGAAAATCAACTTGCAGGCAGGTATAGGAGTGGGCATTCTAAGAGGCTGGCCTATGGTTACCAGCTTTCCCAAGCTTATGACTGATTCTCTTAGCCCTCAAGCCCTGTTAGATCTCCTTATTTCCTACTTATCCTTTGGGAAATCCTGCTCCCACATACCTCAACTGCTTTTGCACTTAGGACCCTGCCCTATCGTCATCCTGACCTGGGTGACGATGGATGTTTGAAGAATGAAGAAAGGTACTCTTAATAATCACCTCTGGGAAATAATTCCTGACAACAGTGAGAAGCAGACTGGTTTTGGCTCGAGACACTTAGATCTGTTCTTAAGAGTGACAGGCCCCTAAGTGGGTAGACTTCTTGGTGCAAATTCCTTTACACATCCCAGGCTTTTAACAAAAGACACTGACCTAGGAAACTAGTGTTGCAGACCTGGTTTCACTATTGAAAGGAAAAATACTGGCTCAGGACCCCAATACCAAGTTCTCAGCACAAAGGAGATGTATTTGCCCCAGAGGGATAAAGGGCAGGGAATAAGAGACAATGACAGGAGATAGAGGAAAAGGGAGAAGGGAAAGGAAAAAGGAAACAGGGGTGGGGGGTGGAGAGGTAGGGAACAAGGAAAAGGGGGACGGGGTATCTGTCCCAAAGTGGGACAAAGAACTGCTTCTGGAAAGAGAGGAGACAGATGTGGCACATAGGGAAATGACAGTTTATAAAGGAAAAGAAGAAAACCCCATGTTAGGATATGTTTAATTTTAATTGGGCATGTTAACTAGGTGATGGGGGGGGTTGGTTGCTGGACTTCAATACTTTGATGGCTGGACCTTGGTAGTCAGCCTCAGGAGGAGGAAGAGGCCATATTAAGGAATAGACCTGGGGGTCTAGTTTTAGGAATGTAATCTAACGTTTTTTATCAAGGCAGAGGAAATGAGAGAGAAGGGCAAGGCCTCCCAGAGCCAAGTTTGCTAGGCCCGGGCTGGCTGGAGTCCCTTCAGCTATCACCTCTCCACGCGTGTATAAGCAAATCCCTGTTCCAGCTGGCGATCCTGTGAAATGAGGAGATAACCCTGGAGAGGACACACTCAAATTCTCCACAGCTCTCTCTCCCAGCATTGCTCCTTACATCCCACTTGATCCTGACAACTCTCAGAAGACGGATGTCCCTGAGGCTCCGCAGAGGAAGAAACCGAGACCCTCCCCCGGGGTCGGGGTTTGTGCTGAACTGAGAACAGGGTCTCTCCTCCCGTTCGCCCTATGGCCTCACCCTCAAGGAGTCGGCAGCGCTGGTGGAATATGTAGCAGGGCTCGTCCTTGTACAGAGGCTGCTCGTGCATCGGGGCCGTGCGGTGGAACCGTGGATCGTTCCAGCCGCGATCCCACGGCGGGAAGATGGGCCGAGCCAGTCCCGGGACGAAGTGCATCTTCCCCTCGTAAGTAATGGGCTCCAGACCCGGGATCTCGTACACCCTGTCCAGGGGCCGAGGCTCGGGCTTCCGCGTGGAACGCACGCCCCATTCGTACGCCCCGCGTTTCGGGGCCCCGCAGCCCCCGAGGCCGAGCCTCCCAGAACAAGCTAACACCCGCAAAGCGGGCCCGGACGCCAACGCCATAGCGATCGAGTCCCCACAACACCTCTACCTGGACGCCGCCATCTTTTCCCGCGCAGGGCCTGCCGGGAGCAAAAGGGGCTGGGCGCAAAGTCGCATTTTGAGAATGACAGACACTTCAACCAATCACAGTTAAAATATCCTTGTTTTGCCTCCGCCCCTCAGGTGGTGCCTATGCTTATAGGTGGACCCTGCAAAGCGCTCTCAGTTTCTGAGGTACCCGACGTGAGTGGGTCACAGGTGGGTAGAGTGGTGCTGTTCCTCGCGGCCGGACAGAGGAGTGCGGGCACCGCCAACCTGTACCTGGGACGTCCTTGACCACCATAGGCAATTAGAGGTTGAAAGGCCTCGGTCTCACTCGCTGTTGAAACGGCTGAGCGGGCCCGGCGTCTAGTGGGTTCTGGAGGTGTCCTCTCCACTCACTTACTGCTGCCCACGCTTTCCTTTGCTGGGGCTCCCCAGAGCCTGCGAGGGCCACGGGGCCCCCCCTACGTCAGCTCGACACCCGGCTGCTCGCCCTGCGCTTCGGCTCAGCGCCGAAGGCGAGTTACTTTTTCTTGGCTCCTGAGGTTTCCTTTTCGCTTCCTAGAGGCAGGGCCTCCTAGAGGCAGGGCCGGTGCCGGGAGCCGCTCCCTTGCGCAGCACCTGCTTCTGGCAAGCTCGCTGTGGGGAGGGAGATGGGTGCTGTGCTAAGCACCGGGTGAACGTGTAGAACTTAGATTTAGGGGCCAGAGAGAACAGTGACAACACACACACACACACGCTTCCTGTCCATTTCTTTAGGTCTTTTTCTCTCCTTTGACCTCTGTCAAAGTTGCTGTTAATTTTTATTTTAATGACTGTCCCGTGAGCACAAAGAACTGTGTCCCTGGCACCTAGAGCAGTTGGCGGACAGCAGTTGGTGGGTTTATCAAATGAGTGTGTACTGACTAGGACAATCAGCACATGCCTCTGAGGGAGGAGGATGACCTCAGTCAAGGCCTGAAGAGCAGGGAGAGGCATCCAGGCCTAGGCTGCAACAGGGATTGTGCCTCCCAGAAGGGAAGGAACCATGTCTTTAAGACTGTGGTGGATGTGTCCAACTTCTCTACCAATTTCCAAAATAGCTGAGACATAGGGTTGTTTGAACCCCAAATTTAAGGCAGATAAGGCAGAGGACAGTATGACTAACCCTCACTTGTCTGATTTTTAGTACTCCCCCCCCCACACACACACACATACACAGATGCAAAGAGTAATTGGCATAGAGAGGCCTCATTCACGCCTGTGACTGATACACAGCATGCTGTAAAGGTGGATTGACTGAATGGCTCTAACATCGTGCTAGGTCTGAACAAGGACACAGACACTGTCCTCCTGTTCACCTCTATTGTGTTCCAGCACCTAAGCCTGTGCCTTGCTCGCAGACCATCGAGTGGCTGCTCACCAGTCAGTAGGGGCGTTCCATGTGCCAGGTCGTTTGGTATAATACAGAACGAGTAAGACGCCAGCCTTGTTCTCCTGGTGCACCAGCCTCAGAACCATACTGAAGTAATAGAGCTCCTTGTGCAGTAGTGGAAAAGATTTTTCTGAAGCCAAATCCCCTTCTCTGCTAAGAAACTATTTATTACACACACACACACACACACACACACACACACAGGCAAAACCACAATCATTGTAAACAGTAAGTATGTCCATCTGACAGCAGATCCCTGGTTGAGCCATCCCTGTCCCTGTAACCTGGCAGGCCTTGAGGAGACCGAGAGGAGCAGAGGAGGACAGAGTCTACCCCCATGTTTTCCCCCTCCCAGGCTGACAGCGAAGGAGAGCCTGTCCTGTCCCAGTTGTCCCTTTGTCCATGTTGCCCAAGCCCCACTGACGATGGATGAGAGGAAGGACAACGATGCTGAAGCTTGGCTGCCGCTGAAGCCTGTGGAGCCCCTGCCCTCCCAGTGCTGCGGGAGTGGCTGCTCGCCCTGTGTGTTTGACCTCTATTACCGAGACCTGGAAAGATGGGAAGCAGCCCGAGCCAGAAATGACCGGAGCCTGCTGAGTGGGAAGCAGTCGACCGAGACCCAGGTGAGGAGTCCAGACTTTCAGTAGCTGTCTGACCCTGCCCTGCTCTGTGCCTGCCCTGGGAAGCCTTTGACTAGACAGTGGTAAGTAAGAAGTAGTCTTAATGAAAGCAGATAAATCCAGGAAGCAAGGTCCAGACCTGAAACCAACCTATTAGTAGCTATGTGGATTTATCTAGCCCCTTAACCTCTTGAAGCCATAGTTTCCCCATCTGCAAAATGGACCCTGATATTTGTGATGTTTAACACAGAACCTAATAATTATCTATCTATTTATTTATATTTATTATGTATACAATATTCTGCCTGCAGGCCAGAAGAGGACACCAGACCCCATTACAGATGGTTGTGAGCCACCATGTGGTTGCTGGGAATTGAACTCAGGACCTTTGGAAGAGCAGGCAATGCTCTTAACCCCTGAGCCATATCTCCAGCCGCTAATTATTTCACTTATCAGATATCCATTGAATACATATTGTACGCCAGGTCCTATAAAGCATTGAGGATCTGTGGTAAGCAAGACACAGTCCTTGCCCTCAAAAGAGCAAGCTGACATGTGATATATTAACAGACCTTCAGGTGCTGTCGCTACTCGGTTGTCTCTGGAGCATATTGACTTCCTTCCTCAACCCAAAAAGAACTTCATATATTTCAAGAATAGTTACAGTTTCAATATATAGTGGCTGTACTCAACCTGTGATAACAGAAAATTGATATTGCACAACAGTGTATTTAATCTAATAGCTTTATCTTTTAAATTGTGATGAAGTAATAATAGATTATATGTCCATAGCAATTTACATTTTATGAAATACATATATAAAGCTAGGTGTGGTGGCACACTCTTTGGATCCCAGCACTTGGAAGCTAGAGGCAGGAGAATCAGCGATTTCAAAGCCAACCCGGGTCATGTAGTGAGTCAGGTCAGTCTGAGGAATTATGTGAGATCCTGTCCCCAAAAAACAAAACAAAACAATAACAAAAAATACCCAACCATGTACTTATTTTATCTTTCCCCTATAGCCCTGTAATGCTACCAGATGAGTGGCCTCTTTTTACATAATAGGAGACCAAGGCCCAGAAATAGCAGCTAGCTGGATCAATCCCAGTGTCCTGTCTCTAGCTCAGTGTTCTTTAGCCACAGGCAGCTGTGACAGGGTTCTTAGCATGTGACTGATGGAGACAAGGTCATCCTGGCTCAAGAGGGCTGTGGTAGAGAGTGTCTGGGACCCCAGGCCTGTCAATGCTGAGACACTGGTTACTGAGTTCTAAGTTTGGTGCCTGCAACCACACCTTCTTCAGGTAAGCCAAATATGAATACTATACAAGAGAGACCAAACCAGGTGTGGCGGTGCACGCTTTTAATTGCAGGCAGAGGCAGGAGGATCTCTGTGAGTTCGAAATCCACCTGGTCTGCATAGCAAGGTCAGGACAGCCATGGCTACAGAAAGACCCTGTCTGAGAGAGAGCTCAGTCATGGTATTCAGAGAAGGCTGCCCTCAAGAGGCACAAGGAGGGGTTGGGATGGTGAGGACAGTGTGCTGAACCCAGAGGACATGATTTTGAGTCACTGCTCCCTGCTGACTTTGAACATTGGATCATCTCTATGGCTCCATGGGTTTTCAGCTCTCCGGATCTGAAACTTAATGGGTCTGAAGGCTGAGCAGGTGTTCAGTACCCTAGAGTGAGTGTTTTGTCCAGAGGATACTACTTGAACAGTGAGGACCTTGAGAGGGCAGTGACAGGTGGCCTTGGAGGAGGAATGGAAATTTGCCATCTGCAGATAAATGAAGCTTGTGGTTGTCCACTGCTCCCTTGAGTGTAGGCTAAGGAGCCTGTGCTTGGTCCTGGGGTTGTGGGAAGCTACAGAAAGCTTAAACACCAGGTAGACTCCATGTGCTGTGGGTAAAGGCAAAGCAAGATAGGGTCAATTCTTTGTCACATCAAGAGATGGCTCTCATCAGGAAAAGTGGCAAGGATGTGTGTCCCTTAGTCCTGACCCCTAGAAGTCAATCAAGACTTTTCTCGTTGTAGGGCTGCTCCACCAAGCTAAGTCCAGAGACCTTCTTGGCCTTCCACATCAGCGCCATAGAGAAACTCACCAAGGACACCTACCATGTCCGGTTTACATTGCCTGGGAGCAGTCAGCTCGGCCTGCATCCTGGGCAGCACCTCATCCTACGGTACACTCAGGTTGTGGGAGGACCAAACCTGCTGCCATGCTTTGCCGCTGACCAGCTGAGTAGCCTGGGGCAGCTTGCTTGGCCTTTCTTAAGCCCTTGCTTGCCATCTTCAAGATAGACCCAGGAGCATATGACTCAGGGTTCTTGACATGGAGCTCAGTGATGTGTTTTTGAGATAAATAATAATGCTAGCCCCTTAATGGCACTTGCTAGCCAAGGCACAGGTCTTACTAGCCAAGGCACGGGTCTCGCTAGCCAGGGCACGGGTCTCACTAGCCAAGGCACGGGTCTGTCTCCTCACATTCATTACCTCATTTAACCTTCACAGACTCCTGGCTGGTAGTTGCCATTATCTGGAAGATGTTATCATACATCCAGACAGTATTCAGCATATGTGTATGTGGGAGGAAAAAAGGGCCTAGATCTGAACCCCAAGATTGCTGGAGCTTATGGGGTTGGTAAGACAAGATGAAGTCAGCAAACAAACTAACGAAACACACAACAACAACAACAAGACAAGCAAGGCATGGCCAAAAGGCAAGTGGGAGGAAACCAGAAAGAGAGCTCACTGCTGGTCAGACTGGCCACTTAGCTCACACTGGTTCCTATGGCCTGTGACCTGACTGGCAGTCCTTCAAATTCAGTGTTTCAGTTGGCAAGAGAAGCCATAGTAGGTTATAGCTATGCAACTCTCCACCCATGAATTGGAGTGGGCAGGACACCCAGCTTCTAGGCTGACTCCCCTCCATCCTCTCTACCACCCAGTGACATTCCTAATATATCTGGCCATGTCACTCATTAAGACGCGTTCTGTAGCTCCTCATTGCTTCCATAATGACATTCTAATCCATGGCTGCCCAACCTCCCTTCCCTACTCCACAGGTGCCCATGTCTTAGCCTTGAAATCCAGCTACTAGTTCCTGGCTTGCCTGCACTTGTCCAGCCCAGGCTGTTCCCTTCCTGGCCCCACCTGTCAGGGGCCTGCTCATCATCAATGCCCGACTCCATCAGACTCCTGAGTTTATAGATGACAGTGCTCACTCCCTCTGAGACACATCAGACTTTACCTGTCTAGCTCCTGCATTTGATGCACTTGGGAGGGCCTTTCAGTCTTTGCAGACACCAGAGCAGAACGTTTTGCACACGGTAAGGCTAAAGCATTTGGAGTGTCCTGGGAAGTAAGTTGTCAGGATTTCTGTTATTGTTTGGTTTGAGGTTTTGTTTTTTATTTTTGTTTGTTTTTTCAAAGTCATGGTGTACTCCAGGCCAGCTCAAACTCAAACATGTATTTTCTGCCTCAGTCTCCCAAGTGCTGGGACTACAGGGTGCACCACCACACCCAGCTGAGAGAAGTACTTCAAGGTTCAGGACCAAACTGGAGTTGGAGCAATAGTCAGATGCCAGTGTGCAAATGGTGTTCCTTCTCTTAGCATTGTTTGGTGTTTGTTGTTGTTCTGTTTGGTTGGTTTTTGCTTTTGTTTTTCAAGACAGGGTTTCTCTTTATAGCCCTGGCTGCCTTGGAACTCTTTCTGTAGACCAGGCTAGCGTTGAATTCCCTGAGATTCACCTGCCTCTGCGTCATGAATGCTGAGATTAAAAGTGTGCACCACCACACCTGGCTCTGGATTTCTTTTAAAGAGTTTTTATTTTTATGTGTATGCATGTGTGCTTGAGTTTATGTATGTGCATCACGTGTGGAGTGTCCATGGAGGTAAGAAGGTATCAGAGTCCCTGAAACTAGAGTTACTGGCAGTTGTGAGCTACCCGATATAGGTGCAGAGAACCAAACAGACCCTCTGCAAGAGCACTGAGTACTCAGAGTCCTAACCTCTGAGCCTTGTCTCCAGCCCTAGATTGTTATTTTAAATAAGATTATTCATATACTATGTCTGGTACACAATAGACATTCCTACCTCATAGCTATTACCACAACTCATGATTGCTCTCCTGACCCCATTGTTGCCAACATTCTAAAGACAATTCATACATTGGCAGAGCTTCAGCATCAAGCCCCTTTGAGGGTTCCTCCAGTTCTGGTGCTTGCTGGCCTATGGTAATGTTTCATAAATCTCAGCAGAGGTTTTTATCTGTGTTATTTTGTAGTGCAGAAGTCAGAAAACCCCAGGAATGCCCCACAGACTGCTCACACCATCAGTGTACTTTTTGTTATCAGTGTTCTTTTTTTTTTTTTTTTTTTTTTTTTTTTGGTTTTTCGAGACAGGGTTTCTCTGTAGCTTTGGAGCCTGTCCCGGAACTAGCTCTTGTAGACCAGGCTGGCCTCGAACTCACAGAGATCCGCCTGCCTCTACCTCCCAAGTGCTGGGATTAAAGGCGTGCGCCACCACCGCCCGACATCAGTGTTCTTTTTGACATACTCTATGACTGATTCCAGTGAAGTCACACCCACGACCTAAATGGCCACCCCTACTTTTCAGGAGATGCTGCTGAAGGATTAACTGACCTGCACACATGTCTCACAAGTCATGGGCGGTGGTGAACTCACTGCCCTTCCTTCTGCTGTTCCTTACCTGTCCCTTGGCGAGGACCTCTGGGAATGACTGGGACCCATCTCTATGTCCATTAGCCTGACAGAGGAGGCGCATGATAAGAGTCTACTAAACGACTGGCTACCCACTGTCTGTGTACTTCTTCTTCCCAGAGGTACAGCAGATGGCTTAGAAATTCAGAGAGCCTATACTCCCATCAGCCCTGTCACTGCGGAAGGATACTTTGATGTTTTAATCAAGGTGAGTTGATTCTTGTTGAGGCTTTCGTAAGGTGCTATGGACTTGGACCTCCCCCTCTAGCCTGTCTGGGTTAGAGGGGTTCCCGTCTATTAGTTGGTGTGAGAATAAGCTGACTTGAAGGAGCAATAGTTTGGGGGGCCTCTTCCCTCTCCTTTTCCAAGGAGGGTGCTGCTGGCCATTACAGAGGGCATGTTACTGGGAGATTTCAGGAAAGCTGCGCCTTATCACCTGTTAGCAACCGATGGAAAGAAAGTACTGAGCTGAGATGAAGTAGGAGCAAGTCCCAGAACCTGTATTTGCTGGCACAGGGATCCAGCCTGACCTGGAGGGACCAAGCCCAGGACAGAGTGATCAGAACGGCTCAATGCAGCATGATGCTAGTCATGAAAAGAGGCCTGGCCCAGCTCAGGGCAACTGGTGTACAAGGAGCTCAGGCTCAGCTTCCTGATAGATACTATGTGTTTGAGGGCTGAGAAATAAGTGAGGTCTGAGACTGGGAGCAGCATAGCAGAAGACACACGGATTGGGAGAGGTGTTCATCCAGGCATAGAAGGGGACAGGATGCCAGAAGAGAAAAGAGCCTGAAGAGCCTTCAGACAGAACTAACCTGACATCCTCTCTCCAGGAGGTGGGCCTCGAAGGGGGAGTGTGAGCTGATGGTGTCAGGGAATGGCATTCTAGGCCGAGAGTGCCCATAGCCAGATGTAGGAAAGGGGGACAGGAAACAGGTCCTTGGGGGGGGGGGGGCTGGGGGGGGGACATCTGGGGCCAGAGGAAGAACTGTCAGAGCCGAGTGAAATGAGATGGACACAAAATGCTCTGGAGACCCAAGATCATAGCAGTAAATTACAGTCGAGGAGGCCCAGAGTGAGGAAACTAAGCAGATTGCTTTTCACGGACCCACTGACGCTCTGACCTTTGGCCTCCAGCAAGTGCAGTTTCGTGCACTCCAACCTGTTGTAGCTCTGCCAGGCATGTCCAGCCTTGCAACACCATGCCAGGTCTACAGAGTCCATGCTCCAGAACAATAGACTCGACAAACACCCCCAAACAAAAATACTAATGTTTTAAAATAAGTTTTCAATTTAGTGTCAGGCCACTTTCAAAGCTCCCCTTAGCTGTCTGTGGCCACAGGCCACAGTCTGACACACCTGCCAGTGAGAGCATTTCCCTCGTGGAGTCCTAGGGAGCATACCCACGCCTCTTCCAAGGCCATGCCATTATTTACTGGTCAGCAGGCTGAGGCCCCAGGAGAGCGAAAGTGGAAGGTGGAGGAAGGAGGGCTATGGGTGAGCAAGCCCCTGACTCTGGGGCCTAGGGCCGCCTTCGGCTCCTGCTGCCCTGCTTGCCTTCAGAGCCCGAATGTTTATTCCTTCCCACATAAGCCTGGACGAGCTCCCTTTTGCACGCTACTGTTTGTCTGGGAGATTCCACAAATCCTCTCCAAATGGCCTGCTTCCCGGCGCTGCTTGTCTAGGGTGCTTCTGCTGAGAGGATAAGCCTAGAGACAGCCCTCCAGAGCAGCTGGATCCCTCCCAGCTGCAAGGCCGATTTTCTCCTTTGGAGAGGTATCTCATTATCCCTAAGCCACTGGCTGGGAAGAGCTGGAAATGTCTGTGCAAATTGGGAAGGCAGTGGGAATTTGTGGGTTGACTTTCCCCGCGAGGAAATGAAGGCGGGCTTCTTTTTCAGGCACCTGCTGGGCACTGATTACGCTGCTTGTAGCTCTGTTCACATTTTCTCATTTCAACTCATGACCTCGGGAAGACCATATTATCCCCATTTTAGCGATGAAGACACTGAAGCTGCAAAGCCTCTTGGGTAGTGGACTGATGGACGCTTGCTCCGAGCCAGGCTCTGCGTGGTGCTCTTTCTTTGGTGTTGTCATGTCATGGGACACCCAGGGCCATAGCTGCGTTCTGTTTGTTTGTTTCTTTGTTTTACGTGTTTAATGTTTTGTCTGTGTGTATGTCTAAGAGTGGCTGCTGGGGCTGGAGAGATGGCTCAGTGGTTAAGAGCATTGTCTCGACTTCCAAAGGTCCTGAGTTCAATTCCCAGCAACCACATGGTGGCTCACAACCATCTGTAATGAGGTTTGGTGCCCTCTTCAGGCATGCACACAGACAGAATATTGTATGCATAATAAATAAATAAACAAATATTTTTTTTTTTTAAAAAAAAGAGTGGCTGCTTCCCTAGAACTGGAGTTACAGTCAGTTGTGAGCCACCATGTGGGTGCTAGAAATCGAACCCAGGCCCTCTGGAAGAGCGGCCAGTGTTCTTAACTGCTGAAACATCTTTCTAACCCCCATAGCTGGGGTTTTTACTTTCCCCAAATTGGGCCCAGCAACCAAAATGTGTTCCCACACACCTTCCAGTAAAAACCCTCCCTCCCAGGCCTCTCCCAGGTGAGCAGGGACTTCCTGTGCCTTATGTAGCTGGTGTCAGAGGTAGCTGCGGGTGCTCAAAGGCAGGTCTGATCACCAAATCTAGTCTCTCCTTCAAGCCTGGGGCCATCCCAACCATCCTTCCAGTTTTGTCCCCAACTGTTTCCCCTGACTCTACCCCTACATGGCCATCTGTTCTTCCCGAGAGAAGACTGGACTCTGTGCTGTTGACCATGCTGCTGCAGGTGCCCAGAGTTTTCTTTGCATGTCTCTCTGACCCCCAAGAAGGTCAGCTTTATCTCACTGTATGGGCTCAGGGCTCCTGTTCGTGGGTCAGTATCTGCCTTGTTTATGTCTAAGATATCCATATGCATCCTTCTGATCCTTGAAGCCCTTTCAGAGGAGGTCTGACTGGATAAATGAGTTGACTGGAATACTTACTGCTACATGTTCAGGGGTCAGGCACTGGGTGTCTTCCTAGTGTTTCGGGTCTCACTGTGTGCCCTGCTACCCCAGCATGGTGCTCGGAACAGAGCAGACAGGCAGTGTGGACTCACATAGCAGCCATCCCATCAGGAGGTGATATAGAGTAAGCCGGAGACAGTACACATGTACTTGGCTTTAGCCTGCCTGGAATTGCAGAATTATGAGTTTATTGCTGACATTTCAGAAGTGGGAGGGTTTTCGATAAAAATATGAATCTCCTGCATCTCTTGGAAGACTCCTAAGATCTGGCAACGTCTGTCCCACAATCTACAGGCTAGCACCTGTGAAATAGCTTCCCTGTTAGAAGGGACATCCCTTGGCAGCCTGCTGTCTCTCTGAGACTAAGTACTAGTTGCTTTAGTCACTACTCCATCTTTGCTGGGCTGCATTCCCTGCGTGCTCTCCTCAGGCATTTGGTGTGAGACCTTGAAGTTGGTAGGTCACTGGAGTTTCATCTCAACCTCATCATCCACCTTGTGTAGGTAGATGTCAGTGTGGACGATAGCTCCAACATGTAGGGCGCAGAAGAAGACAACCTGAGAGTCCCTTGGGAGTCACTGAGCATTCAGAAGGAATTCCAAGTGTTGGCTAGGGAGGCTTGCGCAGCAGAACTTGCCGCCCACTAACTGTTCCCTGTGTTTGCTTCAAGTGCTATCAGACTGGGCTGATGTCCCGGTACGTGGAGTCCTGGAGAATAGGAGACACAGCTTTCTGGAGAGGGCCTTTCGGAAGCTTCTTGTATGAACCAAACAAGGTCAGTCCTTTAGTCCTGAGGAGCTTTGCGGGGGCTGTCTCCCTGCTGAGAGTTCCCTGTTCCAGGCTATAGAAGCGCAATGTAATCTTCTTCCAATACGTAAACCCAATACCCAGAGTGACGTTGGCCTTAGACAAGGGAGGGAATGGATAGGCCCTAATAAACAAAACTGTCCACTTTACTCCAGAATTGTTAGTGAGTCCCTGTGACTCAGAAAATTGGGCCCGAGTACTTAGGGTTCAGGACCCCATGCCCTCTGACTCTCATATCCTGTTCTGTAGTAATATGAGCGGCGGGGCTGCGTTCCCAGCACCCCAGCCGCCTGCTCGGCTAGCTTATGCCCCGAAATAACAACACACAAACTGTATTCATTTAAACACTGCTTGGCCCATTCTCTTCTAGGCTAATTCTCACATATTAATTTAGCCCATTTCTAATCATCTGTGTATGGCACCCCAAGGTGCGCTTACCAGGAAGATTCTAGCCTATGTCCATCCTGGGTCGGAGCTTCATCCCGGGAGCGGGGCATGGCGTCTCTCTCAGGCGTCTGCTCCCGAGAGGAGAGCTGTCAAGTCTGACCTCACTTCCTCTTCCTCCCAGCGTTCTGTTCTGTCTACTCCTCCCACCTATCCTCTAACCAATAAAATGGGCCAAGGCAGTTCCTTTATTAGCCAATGACCTTCCTCCATCACTGTTCCAGTTGTATCTTCTTCTTGGGAGGCTGAATGCAGCGCACACTTACCGCTGAGAGCCGAACACCTCTAGTTTGGAAGTCTCATGCCCTCATCTCTGTGGTGTGCTTGGGTCCCAGAAAGCACTGGTAGTTTCTCTTCGGCTGTCTCATGCTTGGAGGACATCCAGTAGTGTGTATCAACAGTCTTGAGAATCCTTTGACCCAGTAATTCCACCTCTGGAAGTCTATTACAAAGAGAAAAAAAATCAAACTCTGCTTCTCCTGTCTGTGCTAGTGGCATTTTTATTTATAATAACAAAAGAGGCAACTGAGCATCCAACAAAGAGAAGAGTTAAGCACACTGGGTTACAGGTTTTTGATAGAACATTCTCCTAGAGTTCGAAGTTATGTTTTTAATGATGCTCTATGCGTATGCTATAAGAGCAAGTGACAAGTACTAGGCACAAGGCAATATACACCCACTAGGGAAACTAATTTAAAATGCACAAAGAAAATTTATATGGAAAATGTGTGAAATGTTAGCAGGTTTGGGTAGGGAAATTATGGACAATTTTCATTTTCTTCATTATACTTTCCAAATTATCTGGAATGAACACCTATTACCTTTATAATTAGGAAAACAAAGCAAAACCAAAACAAGTGGAAAATAATGAATCATGCTTGCCTTGCCATTCTTTTTGTTTAATTTAAAAATAGCTTTTATTGTATTTTCCCCTTATTATAAATGCAAAACATGTTCTCTAACCAAAAGAAAAAAATCATCAGCAGAGACAGACAGAAAGAAGAATGCACCTGCAAACCATCTTCCCGGGATGCCAGCTCACGTCCTCACTTCCAAACCCTCTCCCACACATGGCATATGTACAAACACGTACACGCACACGTGTGTATGAGCATCATAATACAGCCCTGTCAGGATTGGGATGTAGCTCAGTGTACTGCTTGCCTGGCCTTTGTAGGACCTGGCTTCCACCCCCATAGTCACAGGAGATGCATACCCTCATGCAGACTGCCAAAGCCATCCCCTGTGCAGGCTCTGGCTCTAACCCTTGCCATGTGGTGGCTCACTCAGCCTCCACGGCAACTCGCAGGTGACTCGCCCCTCCTTTGACCCTTGAAGGTGTGTATGTTATCTCTCTCCAGCAGTATTCTGGTATCACTCATGTCAGCCCTGCATTCTGTGTCCTCCAGACCCTTGAGAGCAGGGTGTAGGTGTTGTTTCTTTTCCTAGCTTACAGCAAATGGTTCTCAGATCACCTTTCCCATGAGAGAGCCCCCCAGTGCCTGTGACCTGTATCTTGAGGACATCAGAGCCTCCTGTCTCACCCAGGTCCAGCAGCAAAGGGGCAGGGTAGTGCCCCATGTTCAGATGGGCCACCAAAGCTTTGCCAGGGCCTGCTTTGCTCCCTGAGAAGGCTCAGGTACCCAGCCCCTTGCTAGCCCTGCCCTGTAGTTGTCACGTTAAATCGACCATACAATGTCAGTTTGTGCATGAAGGCACAGGCAGACACTAGCGTCTGTCCAGGGAGAGACAGGTAGTATTTGCCAGTGTGGTGTGAGGGAGCACAATGCACTAGGGGACAGGAAAGGAAGAACTCCCACCCCAGCCCTGCTCAGGGAAGGCTTCCTAGAACTCAGCCTGAGAAAGGAAGGAAGAAAAGGAGGAACGAGGCAAGTCACAGACCTAGAGGTTGGAGGGACCATGGTTGCAGGATCTCCATCTTAATAAGGGGAAAAGCTGGAATGATTAAATCTCAACTCCATACCGGGTGCTTATGTTCCCTCCTCTGGTCCTCGTGGTGGTGCTGAGACAGGAGCTATTTTAGGAAATGCTCTCATTATTGTTTCCCACCAGTGAAGAAATGGAGGCCCAGATCACATGATTAGTGTTTATACACACGAGTCTAATATCTGGAATGAAAAAGGTGAGTATTTTTCTGTGTGTAGCAGGCATTAACCTTTAAGAAACTGACTTTGAGAACCAGGCAGTGATGGTGCATGCTGTTAATCCAAGCTCTTGGGAGGCAGAGGCAGGCATAACTTTTGAGTTTGACTCTACTGAGTTTGAGTTTGAGTCTACTGAGTTCCAAAACAGCCAGGGCTATACAGAGAAAACCTGTCTTGAAAAAAGCAAAAATAACAAAAGAAAGAAAAGGAAGGAAGGAAGGAAGGAAGGGGAACTGACTTTGAAAAAGTCTGCCTTTTTTTTTTTAAAGAAACCTACAAACAGGAAATGGGCTCACTGAAGAGGGTGGATGATACTAGGTCTCTTGTAGGAACCTACCTTACAGTGCCATGCTAGGCGCATGTATATATTACTTTATTTAGTTCAGAGAAGAGAGGTTCAGGGTTCTAGACTGGGGTCCAAGACCTTTGTAGAGCTCTCCAGAGTCAGAAAGCAGGCTGGGATGGAGTTGGGAGGGGAAAGGCTTTGGTAGGAGAGGATGTGTCTTTGGGAGGTAGTGGGTTCCTTGCAAGCACAAACATGTAAGCAGAGGCAGCCAAGCCCCTTTCACATTGGGCTACAGTGCAGGAGCTGCAGAATCCCAAAAGCTGTGTTTTGCAGGCCTTGCCTGCTGCTCACAAACCAGGTGGCTTCCTGGTGTGTAGAGTGTGGCAGAGATGGTTGGGACACGGGAGGAAGGCATTGCTGTTCAGCTTAGCCGAGAGAAGACCCACAAATGGGTAGTGGGTGAGACCCCACCGTCTGCTCTGCTGTTTATCCCCTCTAGTATGGTGAACTCCTCATCCTGGCAGCTGGCACAGGCCTGGCCCCTATGGTGCCCATCCTGCAGAGCATCACAGACAATGCAGATGATGAGACCTTTGTCACCTTGGTTGGCTGCTTCAAGACCTTCGAGGCCATCTACCTGAAGACCTTCCTCCAGGAGCAGGCCAGGTTCTGGAATGTGCGAACCTTCTTTGTCCTCAGTCAGGTGAGCCCAGGGTGAAGGCTTCTTCCCCTAAGAAGCTGCACTTCCTCTGTGCTGTCCTGAGGACTGACTGTGGCCTCTATGCCCTGTGCTGTACTGATAGTCCCAAGACCTCTGTGTGAAAGGTAGGCAGTGGCAAGTCCATCACACAGAGGAGGAAGCATGCTTAAAGAAGGGCTGGGCCCCATGCTTCACACTCCTGAGTCCCAGTTCATAGCCGTTGTCCTCCACTATGTTCCACCCACCCACCTCCTGGGATCCCTTGTGTGGGCTGGGACCTGAATATGGGGTCAAGGCAGCAGCAGAGGCCATGTTCAGGTGTTTGTGGCTAAGAATGTGGGCCCACATACTCCTTGTGATACTTAACATGAGGCCAGGCCCAGAGTAGAGGCTCCATCAAGACTGGCTGGGCAGTGTCTTCAGTAAGGTCTCTGCCACCTCCATCTGTTCCTCCACACAGCAGCAGAATGGCTACTGTCGGACTCAGCGAGCTACAGGTTTTCTAGCTGGAAACCACCTATATCCTGTTTCCTGTGTCCCCATCCCCGCCAGCTCCTGCCGCAGCATGCCTGATCTCAAGCCAAGCCTCTGTCACTGATTGTCTGTCTGCTTTCTAGAGGTCTGGTTTTGCTTTTTCTGGACTTAGCCCATGCTGCCATTCCCCTCCCCATTTCCTTTTGCTTGAGAGTAGCCATATAGTCCTGTACTATACTCCCTGCTCAGTTTCCTTCTTGAGACATTTCTGGAAAATCTCTGGCAGTTTATGTGATCCTCAGCCTTTTAGCTGGGGCCAGGAGACTGGAGAGCTTTGTAGAGCCATGGTCCTCACACATGTCCACAGGTGGAAAGCTCTTTGACATGTTTGGTGAACATCAACAGCAGCAGGAAGTGTCCAAGCCAGGGCATGAAGCAGGAGGCTGGTGTGCAGCTGAGGGGACGAGGGAAGGACTTGGGTCAACAGCACAGAAATCCTACCAAAGCCTGGGCCAGGCACCTGGCAAACTTACCTGACTGCTGGCTAGCCCTCTTCCCCTCTAACCTCAACCAAATGAGAGATGCCTGGGACACAAATGGAGGTGAGACACTTCCTGTCTGCAGGGACAGCTGGTCATCTCTGTGGCTTAGTTATCCTCTGTTGCTGATAAAGATGGTGATCAGGAGCAGCTTGGGATGAAAGGTGTAGTCCATCTGGAGTGGAAGTCATGGCAGAAACTTGAACCCAAAGACAGGAACCAAAGCATAGACCATGAAGGAATGCTTCTTCCTGGCTTGTTCAGTTTACTTTATACCCCAGGACCCTGCTCAGGAATGGCACCACCCACAGTGAGCTGGACCCTTCCTCATTGATCATCAGTTAAGAAAAGGAACTGGCCAGGCAGTGGTGGCGCACGCCTTTAATTCCAGCACCTGGGAGGCAGAGGCAAGCAGATCTCTGTGAGTTCAAGGCCAGCCTGGTCTATGTAGAGAGTTCTAAGCCAGCCAAGGCTGTACACAATGAGTCCCTATCTCATTTAAAAAAAAAATAGAATGAGAGAACGTGTTCCACAGGCTTGCCAAAGACTGGTCTGATCTCGAGGCAATTACTCACCTGAGGGTCTTTCTTCTCAGACAACTCCAGCTTTAGTGAATTGACAAAAACTTCCCAGGATAGTGCTCTTCTTTGAACATTTCTGTGTGCCACTCAGAGCCCTTCAGTCCCCACACAGTCGCATGAGGCTTGTACTGCCATCCTGTCTGCTTTACAGACGTAGAACCCGAAGTAACAAGGTAGCCGCGACCGAGAGCTGGGTGCCAGCCCAGCTGGTCCTGCACAGAGGACATTCTCCTAGTGGTCTATTAGTACAGTACACATACAGGCCAGTGGATGTCCGTCACTTCTGACCAGCGGGAGGGTAAGTGAGGTCAGGACTGTTGCAGGAAAGAAATGGCATCTGAACCAGGGAGTTATAGTAAAGTTCACTTTTGGCTCTGCCAGGCTGTGATGATGCTAGATGCCAAAGGCTGAGCAGGAAAATGGACCGACTCGATAACGGGAGTCAGGGGTGACTTGATAACTCTGCTCACCCACATACATTGCCTCAGCTTGCCGCTTTCCCTGCCTCAGCCTAGGAACAGCATCTTCAGGTTCCCTGCCACTTCTGCCGACTTGGCCTTCATTCTGCACTGCCTTGCTCCTAGCCATTCACTGCCCCCACTGTTCTACGACTCCCCAAGCCCATTGGCCTGTTGACCTTGCCAGCTCCATCTTGGCCTGCCCTCCCCATTGCTGTGTCCTGGTACTGCTGTCGAGCTTGCAGGTACACTGGCCCTAGCAGCTAGCCTTCGTTCCTGCTGTCCCCTTCCTGGATCTGCTGAGGCAGAAGTTCATCCTGCAGGCTCAGAGCCCCAAGGGGTGCTAGTGTTTCTGCTGCCCCAGCCCTGCGTCTGTCATCACCGTGCCTACCTATCTATCAGTGTTTAAGGTCTCTACCACGACTGAGGAGTAACCAGACTCAGCGCATCTTGGGATGCACAATTAGGAGGGCCAGTAGAACTGAGTGGTTGGGGAGAATCAGGAAATGGGAAGGAGAAATAAGGCCAAGTGATGTCTGCCTGCTCTGTCCTCAAGGTTCTACTGGGTCAGGAGAGTGTTTGGGGGAGTAGAGGAAGATCCAGTTGATTGCAGAGTGCCCTTGACAGTACCAGAGGACATGGAAGTCATCCAGACTCCTTGAAGTGGGACTACAAGGCCTGAAAGTACATGGGACACTAGGAGCCCTTAGCCCTCGGGCCTCCACAGGACTGTGTTCTTACTCTGGCTAGAGGACCATGGCTTTTCACAGCCTGGGCCTTTATCTCATAGCTCAGAGGCTAGTAACTCAGTATGGCAGTTGCTAGGACTCTCTCTCCAGGGCTCCCTAGGAACTAGGAGCTTTTTTTTTGGTTTCTACCATTCCCTACAATGGCAGAAGAGAACTGACTGAGTGAACACCGAGAACCCCAAGAGTCATGGTTGCTCTTTCTTGTCTTCTCAGGAGGTCTCCCCAGAGCAGCTTCCCTGGAGCTACCGTGAGAAGACCCGCTTTGGCCGCCTGGGCCAGGAACTGCTTGATGAGCTAGTGGCCCACTGCCGGAGAAAGCCGTTTACATTAGTCTGTGGCTCACCTGAATTTACTGAGGACATGGCTCGGTGTCTCCTGGCTGCTGGCCTGACTAAGGATTCCTACTTCCTCTTCTAGCCCTGGCCGTGGACCTTATACAGGGGCACAGGAAGGAGCCCAGACTAGAATCAGAAGACATGGAGTCCAGGCCAGACCCTGCTGCTGACTTACCCAGAGACCTTGGGAAAATGTCATCACCCTTGGCACTTCCTTTCCTGTCTGCACAGAAGGTTTGCCCTTCCCTCCTAGTTCTGGTGTGTGAAGGGAACCCAGCAGCTTGCCTGGAAGCCAGGGAAGACTCCTCCAAGGAATCCAAACATGGAGTCCTGCCAAGCTCAGGATGGTGGGCACTGGATGGGATAAGGGGAGAGGAGCCTCTCTGATCCTTCCAGAGGGTCCAGAGTCGGTGGTAAGAGAATGACTTCGGGAAAAGCTTGGCGCTCTCTGGAGGACCTTAGCTTCTCTACCTTCCATGGGTTGAACCTGACTTGCTGAAGGCCTTGCTCGATGACCTGACTGTGTTCTCAGAACAAGGCGCTTCCCTGGATCAGTTCTGTGTCAGCGCCAAGTCTTCCCTGCCATGATCAGCTTCATGCTCAGTTTCTCTTTCCTGGCTCAGGAAGCCAGCCCAGAATCCTTTCCCCACAAAAGAAGAGTAATAGAGGCAAATGCCCCTCCCTCCTGCAGGCAGCCACATAGCCCGTGCCTTCAGCTCGGTGCCCTGGCGACAGTTGCTATGGAGATCTAAAGATAGAGCAGGAGTCAGGAGACCTGGGTCCCTCTCCCAGCTCTGCCCACTGAGTGGCTGCTGATCCAGGTCCACACAGCCCCCACCCCCACCTCCTCCATCCTGCACGGGGCATGCCCTCTCCAGGGAACTTGCTGCCCCTGGGTATCACGTCGACTTAATGAATTCTGCTTTCCACAGCCTGGGCCCCAGTATGCTGCGCCAGCACAGGCTAGATACAGGCAGTCCCAGATCTAAAGCTCGGCAGTGGAATGTTAGAAGCTGAGAGCTAGGAGCCTTCAGGATTAGGCATTTTTAACAGCAGAGTTGCAGTCTTCCCAGCTGAGCAGACGCTCTGATGCCAGAAAACCCTGTCCAGCAGATTCACTATACAAACAGGGAAACCAAGGCCCCAAGAGTGGCTCACCCAAGCTGAATGGCAGGGACAGCCCTACAGGTCTCCCCCCCTGCTCATGGTTGTACACCCCCTGCTTTTCAAACTGGCCTCCATGGGACACTGGGGAACCTTGCCTGGAAGGCAGCAGGAAAGGGTGTAGAGGGATCCCAGGTCCCCTTCAGTCACAGCAGGTTGGTGTGGTGAGGCCTAGAGGAGTTTTTGTCTTTGCTCTCCCACCCAGAAAACCAAAACCAATAAATCCCTGTTCTGAGCCATGTTCACTGTACAGACATGGTGAGCAGCTGCTTGGCAGGAAGTTTTCACGCCGAGCATCAAGGACATGGGACTTCTGTCGTGGTTTGCAGGGTGTTAGGTGCGACTTCTCAGAACCGGGTGTCACGGGCACATTAAAGTTCCATGAACATAAGTCAAGACGCTTCATTTTGTTTGGCCTGGGTCCTCAACCTGCTTGGGACCGTTTTCACCAGGTCTCAGGCCCAGCAGGTGTGATGAGTGAAAGGCCCTAGCCCAGGACCAGGGCTCCCAAGCACAGTTCATGCTCTGTTCTTGCCTTGCCTATGGCTTGGGACAAGACACACGTCCTCTCTCAGGGCTCCTAGAGCTTCATGGCCATGCCTTGCTGAATCCTGCTGCTTGTCATCATGGATGCTCCTGGGGGACAAAGAGCCGACCATCCTGGGAAATAAGCAAAGGTGCCAGGCACAACCTTCCCACTGGAGAGCCCCAACCAAGGCACACGTTGGAACTCGAAGCTCCAAAAGGGGTGAGTATTGTAGAAATGGGCTCCTCGGTGCTAAGAGAGTGGTGAGCAGGGCTTGAGCCTGGCCTGCAGGAAGGGCAAGGACACTCCCCTGCCCTGAGAATAGAAACTTCAGAAGCAGTGCTCTTGCTCATCTCTGGGAGGGTTGGGGAAGGCTCCACTTAAGGCAAGGAATCAAGGGCAGTCCCCACCTGCCTCTGTCTGTTTCTGTTTTAGATATTTAATGCCTGGACTTTAGATCAGGCCACCCAGAGGCAACTGACACCCCCACCCTAGGGTGGATCTCTTTCCTTCACGCCACTCTGCAGAAGTTTGGGCAACCTGACTACTAGTGCAATGTTTGTTTGTTTGTTTGTTTCAAGACATGGTTTATACTGTAAAGATTTATCACTCAAATTGGCTTAATAAAATGCTGATTGGCTAGTAGCTAGGTGGGAAGTATAGACAGGGTAACCAAACTAAGGATGATGGGAAAGAGAAGGGCGGGGTTTGGAGTCACCAGCAGATGCAGAGGGAGAGGAGATAAATGTGCCCTGCTAATAAATGTACCGCCACATGGCAGAGTGTAAATGAGGAATATGGGTTAATTTTAAAATGTAAGGGCTAGTTAGTAATAAGCCGGAGCTATTAACTGAGCATTTATAATTAAAATAAGTCTCTGTATGGTAATTTGGGAAGTGGCTACTGAGTATCTGGGAACATGGAGTCGGGCAAGGAAACATCCAACTACATATGCATTCCTTCTTTGCCCTGACTGTCCTGGAATTCACTCTATAGACTAGGCTGGCTTCAAACTCAGAAATCTTCCTGCCTCTACCTTCTGAATGCAAGATTAAAGGTGTGTGCTACCACCACCTGGCTTTCTACTAGTGGGGTTAATTATCATGGAACATTAGTGAGGGCACAGACGTGCCCACAATGCCAAGATGCCAAAAGTTCTCTGTCACCTGGGTACTTGAGAGCCCACAGCTAGTGTTTGTTGTGCCTGGCAAGGTACAGGTGAGCATTAGAGAGGACCAATTGGAATTCATGAAGTCATCTCATTTGGTGTGCGGGTTCTGTCAGCCGGGTAGTCCCTCCCTCTCTCTGTAGGCTGTGGGGATGGAGTGCCCTGGGTACTGCTACTGTGTGATAGTACAGTGGCACTCACGAGCTGAACGTGACCTAAAGGCCTCAGGAGGCCAACAAAGAGCTCACTACTCTGTGAGAGAGACAGAGCAGCACCCCAGACTCCTCTGCCACTGACCTCATCAATCAGGGAGCACAGCAAAAGCCTGCCTGACCTAGCCCAGCTACTGTATTACCATTACAGAGGGTGCTCAGCACCTCCTGGAGGTACATTACCGAGACATAAGCAGAATTGTACAGTACTGTACACGTGGCAGGACTCTTCTTCAACAGGGGATCATGCCATTAAATTACCCAGGTTAGAGAAGCGAGTTAAGCCACCAGCCACCAAGATCATGTAAGTTCCAACACGTGTAATTGTTTTAAAAGTTATATGATACATGAGTATACCTGGAGGTACATATACATAGACTTCTGTTCCTATATGGTGTGTGACAGTCAAGACTAAAATCTATTCATGGAAAAGAGGATTGAAAAATAAGCAGTTCCCTTTTGTTTGTTTTGTTTTAATGCTGGGGACTGGTCCTAGAGCCTCATGGTTGCTAAACTAAGGACACACTCTAGCACAGCCAAGCCCCAGTAAAGGATTCCAGGAGAACACCAGACTGTAGTCAAAAACGACAGGACCAGGTCTCCATGTACCAACACGGATTCCATGTTTTTAAACGTCACAATGGAATAAATTGCACATAGTAAAAGGACAGGTATAGGGCCAGCAAGATGGCTCAGCAGCTACTGGTGTTTGCTGCCAAGTCTGACAACCTGAGTTTGAACCCTGGAACCCACATGGTGAAGAAAGGATTGACTCCCAAAAGTTGTCTTCTGGCGAACATATACACACACTCCAATAAACACACACACACACACACACACACAGAGAAAAAAATGGGACTGGGACAGTACTTGTACTTTGGAATTGTAAAACTCCAAAATAATGTTTACTGTTGAGAGATAGCCCAGTGCAAACCCAGAGGTGAGTGCTGGTGATAGACAGACAGGCGAGGACCAGGGAGGGACTGCTGGCCATACCTGATCTTGTATTGTGTTACAGAAAATACTTGAAAGAGATTCTGGAAAATCTGGGTGTTGGGTTCCCTGGTCGCTGCATTAAACGCCTCGTGTTTAAAAAATAGTTCTACAATTAAAGATTGCAAGGCAGGATCTGCTGTACCCAGGCAGGTGCACACCTGTAACCCCTGCACTTGGGAGGGGAGACAGGAGGATCAGATCAAGGCTATCCTTGGTTACATAATGTGTTTGAAGATAGCCTGGGGTACCTGAGACGCTGTCTCAAAAACAGAGGAAAACAAAATGCTCCAACATAGCAGTCCATACACTTTAAAAAATAGGTGCTTCAGATGCCCCCTGTCTCTCCCTCCTCACGGCAGGATTGGCCCTTCATAGCCCTTCAGAAATTCACTGAAGTCTCTGTGAGCTCCTCTGCCCCAGACCTCTTAGGTGTGGGACCCAACAGTGCTGGCATTGGGGTGTCCCTGGCCCTCAGATGTGGCAGGTTCTTCGCTCCCCTTTTCTTGCTCTTTTCCTCATCAGCTCAAATCCAAAATGACTTGCCAAACACTGGTGGTACGCTCTTTTTCTCCTTCTTTTTATCCACTTCTTAAAATAAATCAGACCTAGGTTCAAGTCTCTTCCTGGGACCCACAACAAGTAACTCAGCTCTTTTGAAGCTCAGTTTGTTCATCTATAGAATGGGAATGTAACCATTCTTCAGGTTATCTCTTAGTCTAGTGAGGACAAGGGAAACAGCTTGCATGGCCTGACATGGGTGCCTGGGCCTGTATTAGGAGGTCTTTGTTTGTTTTTTGTTGTTGTCATTGTTGTTTTTAACCACTGAGACAAAGATCTGAGTGAAACAGAAGAAGGAGCTCAGAGTTTCTGTCCATCAGCTGACTCCACTGCCTGGGGTCTATGGCTAGGCACAGCATCAGAGCAGCCAGCGTGAGAGATTAAGGGATCAGGACAAGGCATAGCCCCCAGAGATACCCTGACACTCCTGTACCCCCAATGACCTATTTCCTCCAGTGAGGTACTGCT